GATTTACCAATCCAATAAAAGCAAACAAATCAATGAGAACTTGCTCATGACTGTAATGTTATGAAGAGGGGAGAGCATCTCGAATTGACGGAAATTTGAAAGGGGAGTATTAAATGAACTTCTAAGTCCCAATCAAATTCCATTCATCCTTAAGGCGGAATTGATATTCTTGGGTGCCAAAAACTAAGAAAAGAGAGGGGCTGTGGCTCAGCATGGCAAAACACCTGCTTCATGTGCAGAAGGTCCCAGGTTCAATCCCTGGTACTTCCAGTTGAAGGAAATCAGGTGGTCAGGTAGTAAGGGAGGTCTTTTTTTGCCTGCAACCCTAGAGAGCAGCTGCCAGTCAGAGTGGACAATACTAAGTTATACAGACTGGGATTTGTCTCAATGCTTTGTCTCAATGTGACCCTGGAGAGCAGCTGCCAGTCAGAGTGGACAATACTAAATTATACAGACTGGGATCTGTCTCAATGCTTTGTCTCAATGCGACCCTGGAGAGCAGCTGCCAGTCAGAGTGGACAATAGTAAATTATAAAGAATGGGATCTGTCTCAATGCTTTGCATACAGAAAATCCTAGGCTCACAGTGCAGTCCTAAACAGAGTTGCACACTCTGCAGATCTGTTCAGGATTGCACTCCTAATCCCTAACATTTCTAGTTAAAGGATCTCTAGCCATAGATGTTGGGAAAGACCCTGCCAGAGACCCTGGGGAGTGGCTGCCAGTCAGTGTGTAAGGTTGCCAACTCTGGCTTGTGAAATGCCTGGTGACTTGGGGGGGGGGTATTACCTGGGGAGGATGAACTTCTGGGAGGAAATGGACCTCTCTGTGGGGATGTGATGGCACAGAGTCTGCTCTCTGAAAGCTCCATTTCCTGCAGGGGAATTGATCTCTGTAGTCTGGAGGTCAGTAGTAATTCCAGGAGATCTCCAGGCCCCATCTGGAGGCTGCCAACCTTAGTTAGTGGTCTGGCATGGTGCAAGGCTCAAACGTTTGAAAGTTCTGGTTAGCTGGAATTCTTTCAGTCCAAGTCTGATAGGATTCAATCTGCACAAGTGGGGACCTGAAAGAAACTTGCAAGGAGGGGGCATTCCCTCACCTTTGCTTCCTTCCCTCTCCCCCATCTTCCCCTTTCTTTCTCTCCTCAAGCCAATCTCCCTTTCTTTTTCTTTCCAACCCTTCACTAAGCCAATTCTGCCTTCTTTGTCTCTCTCTGTTCCCCAAACTAATCCCCCTTCTTTCTTTTCCCTCCCAAGCCAATACCCCCATCTCTCCCTTTCTCTTCCCCTCAAGCCAATCCCCCCTTCTTTCTCCCCCCTTTCCCCTACCTTTGAGCCTGTCAGCAGCTCTACTCTTCTCTGTCCCTTGGTAAGTGCTTTGTCTTCCCTTCTTCTCTCCCTCCCTGCTCCCTCTTTCTCACCTGACCTGGTGTGCCTATTACACTGGGAGGGTCAGGACTCCAAGCGTCCCTTCCAAGTTCGGATGCCTTGCCTTTGTGTCTCCCACTGCCCAGCGCCTGGTCACCACAGGGACTATTTACTGCCTTGCAAACCTGTGGAGGAATAGCCACTTGCCAACTGCCTGCCTTCCCCCTGGCACTCCTTTTTAAATGGTGTGTCCAAGATGGTGGAAATCTATGTGGTACAGAAAACCACTATCACCATCAAAAGTTATAAAGTATTTATTAAAGAGAAAATGTTCACAAGCACACTTTTAGCACAGTGCCAGATTGAGCAAGGGATTCAAAAGAAATGGGTAAAACACAAATCCTCTGCCCCTCTCTCTGATACATACCCTATCAGACTTTAAAATATAGGACAGGCTCCTTAACTTAGAAAGTTACAGATCTTTACAGAGTTACCATTACCTTGAAGCTTCCTTCAGCTGACCAGGCCACCGCATGGCTAATGTCCAACTCCTCCAGACCTCACTTAAGAGTTCTGCCTGCTCTGATGGACTCAGCACCCAAAAGGGAGTTCCTCCTTGCTGCAAGGAGTTATCATATCGGTTTCTCCACCCACTGACCTGGTCAGGCTGGGTCAAAAAGAACCTCTTTTTGAAACCTCCAGACGATTCTGTTCCCCTCTTGAAGTGGGGGGGGGAGCTTGACCATCTCATTGTCTAGACCTATTAGCATCTGTATGATGGTAGGCTGAGGTAAATCTGGAAAGCAATTGAACTGACTTCTTCCTTTCCTGCCTGTTCTCTGCCCAGAGGGGGGGGGGGGACCTCTGTTCTGTTCATTTCAAACCTCCGAAGGAGGGGAAAAAAGAATTACTTCACAGTGCTACAAGGTTCTTTTGCAGCTTCTTACATTTGACTCACTTTAATGAAACATGGATGAAGTTATGAATAAAAGGGGGCCACCTTTCTAGGAAATTTGCCTTACTGAGAACAAGGATCATATTGGCAATCGAAGGAACACAAGCTACATTCTTCAATATGGAAAGGCAGCAGTACTTTGATGCTTTCAATATTTCAAGGGCTGGGAAGAGCTGAAAGCTTAAAGAAAAGGGCCTCTTTCTCAACAAGATCAGAGAGGGAAATCTCCTAGGCATCGATGAGGCTTCAACATGCTCTAAGAATCCCCGCCGATGCCCTCATTGTTGCAGAGTTCTTTTGAGGATTCTCAGCAGGAGGAGAGCTGCTGTCGAGAGGTGGGAGAGGGCGGGGGGGGGGAGGTTGGCCAAGGATGCAGCCCAGGGCTCAAGGTCAACCCTGCATATTTAATGCCAGAGATTTCAAATGAGCCTAATCCCATCCTCCTGCCTATAGGAATGATTACAAATGGCTCATCCTTGTGGTTTTGACACCCCGAATCCTTGCTTCTGTTCCGGCGCTCCTGATTCATTCATTTTGGGTCCTTTTCCTGCTGCCTGGCAGAAGCAGGCATTTTTCAACCTTATTCATGTGCTGTTAATTCAGCATTATAAATTAAAAGGACATACACAGTTTGCATAAATGCTGTTTACACGGCACACAGAAATGAATCTGCAAAGCTCCCAGTGAAAAGTGGAGAACGGACCCAACTTAGTAGATATATATAAAGACACAAAATGGGTATCATTTGCTCATCCTTACCCAGCGACGACACAAGAACTGGCATATCTACAGACTGTTTTGCCATTTCCACGAGCAGGCAAGGCAGCTGCGAAGCAGAACTGTCTGGGAAGCCAACCAGCACTGCCCCTCTCCATCCTATCCCCCCAAAGGCTAACATACTAGGGGCGATGGTGTACCACAAGTGAACCCCAAGTGTGCTGAATGACTAGCCAGATATGCTATTTATTTATTTATTTATTTATTTATTTATTTATCCTTCGACTTCTATCCCGCTCACCCCCTAGGGGCTCTGAGCGGCTTACAATTCCAATTAGTCAATCTAATCTAGGGCCACATATGAAGGGGAGGTGAGAAGCCTACCAGGCACCTTTATCATGTTGTAGCAGATCTTCTTATTGTGAGGGGACAGTCCGGCGGTGACCCTCCTCCGGCGCAGGTCCTCGCTGCTCCACTTTTTCTGGCTGTTGCAACTCCGCCTCCAGGCCTGGACCACTCCGTGCTTCCGCGCATGCTCGCAGCGGCCTCCGTCCAAGTCAGGCTCCGGCCTGCCGCGTTGCTCCGCCTCCGCACCTTGTTGGTCCGGCCTCCTTCGTTCGCCTCCTCGCCTCGCCAGCCGCCATTTTTCTCTGTCGCCGCTGCCGCTCATCACTCTCCGCTCCCTGCTCTCCGCCATCGCTGCTATGCCTGAGACGGTGCCCCCCCGCTCTAATAGCAGGTACCCATTTTATCTACTTGCCCTTTAACAGGCTTTCGAACCGCTGGGTGGACGGGAGCTGGGACGTAGGGCCAGGAGCTCACCCTGACCACGGTGGGGTTCGAACCGCCGAAGCTGTTCACCCAGATGTTAAAGCAGGCTTCCCTTACTGCCTGCGCCACCGCTCCCAGTGGCAAGTGACCAGACCAGGACAGGGAATGGAGGGGGTGAAGGTCTGAGGCTTATCTCTCTCTGTCCTCTGACTCACGCCAAGTAGAAGCCTCCTCACACTAGACATCCAAGGACTATGGAGTGACCAAGCTGTGGGGGGAGGGCAGTGGTAGAGGAAGCCTTCCTCTCAGCCAAGAGGAGATCAAACAATGTGAGGTAGTGCGGTGCAGTGGTTAGGGTGCCAGACTATGCCTGGGGAGACCTAGGTTCACAGCCCCACCCAGTCATGAAGCTCATTGGGTGACCTTGGGCCATGCCTACTCTCAGCCTCATCTCACATACAGGACTGTGGTGAAGACGAAATGGAAGAGGGGAGGGCCTCATCAGCCACCCTGAGCTCTCCTGATGGAGAGGTGAGATTAAAAAATGGAATAGTAAGCCACCTCTCAGAAGCCTGTGGGAATGAGCTCGAGGGCCACCTTAAGCCTAAGGTAAGTGGTGAGATCGCAAATGACACCATAGTCCCTGAATCCCCCCCTTCAAGGTAATCCTCACTTATATAAAAATAAGAAATCCATATATAACCAATAAAAGCATCAATTAAACCTGGTCACACAACAACAACAAATCCAGCAGGGCGGGGAAAGTAACAACCCTCAAGTGGTTATAGCAGATAAAGACTACTAATGATGCTGTTATGAGCATGCAGTCAGGTCCATATAGGTGGTGGTAGCAAATTCAAGGTAGGGCAGCTAGGGATGCCAGACTCCAGGTGGGACCTGGGGATCCCCCCAGAATTACAGCTTATCTCCGGACTACAGAGATCAGTTTCCCTGGAGAAAATGGATGCTTTGGAGGGTGGACTCTATGGCATCATGCCCCACTGAAGTCCCTGTCCTCTCCAAGCTCCACCCCCAAATCTCCAGGAGTTTCCCAACCTGCATCTGGCAACCCTCCCCCACCAATGGCCGGGGGGGGGACTTGGCAACCCAAGGTAGCTTATTACTACAAATCACCTATTTCTTGTAGATAGCGCAACAGAGCCATATTTCCTCTCCACCCATTGTACTCACCTTCTTCTCATCCCCTTCTTGCAGCAGTTGGAGATGGCTCCTCTTATTGCCATCCTTGCGTAGGGTACTGCTCTGGTGCTGGGGCAGGCCTGTGGGCGGGGAAACACTACGGCCATGGGGATCCACCCAGGTGTAGATGTGATTGGTGACGTAGCCACCAGGGATGCGTCCGACTGAGTGAACGGAAAGATTCAGCTTCTTGGACCCTTTCAGCGCCTAGGAAAGAGGGAGAAGGAAACGTATGTCAAAGGATGTCTATTCACAGGACATGAGCCAATTTGCGGGAAGCTCAATGCTAGTAAAATCCATTCCTCAGACACAGAGCACCTGCTTTGCCTGCAGACAATCCCAGCTTCAGTCACCAGTTACCAGAACTCAGGGAACAGGTGTTGGGAACCATCTGTCTTTGCTTGAGACCCGGAAGAACAGCGGCCAAAGCAGATAAAAGTGAACTAGGCAGACTGGTGGTCTTCAGCTTCATGAAACCTCAGGGGTAAGGCATTTGTTTTGCATGCAGAAGGTCTCAGATGGGAATCTCTCATTATTGGGCCTCACCTAGCAGGTGCTGGGGAAGATCTTCCTCTGCCTGAGGGTCAAGTCAAACATCGCAAAGTTCACATGGTGAACACCACAAGGACTTTGGGTCAGATACACACCTGGAGTTCTGCACTGGGAACTCAATTCTCAGGTGTATATATGGCCAGTCAGGATTGGGACTTTGGTGCATGAGAAGGTCATTTAGCCCCACCCACCTTGATATTTTCTCAACTTGAAATGGCCCTGCAGAGCTGATAGCTACATGCAGGGGTCATTTCATAGTAAAAGAGGTTTAGGAGCTCGTTAGCATAACTCATTAGCATAACTTATTTGCATATGCCAAACCCCCTGACATCACTGGAAGTGTGTCAGAAGGCAACACTCACCGCTCAGGTTCCACTGGACTATTTTGGATTACTAGCGATTGGGGGGGGGGGGACATGCAGATCTGTCCTCGCAGAGGAGGGAGAGCTTGTACCTGAATAAAACTTGGTCTTAAAGGTGCCACTAAACTGTTTTGGACCAGGGGGCCGGGGGGGGGGGCTCTGCAGCTTACCTGGCTGCTTCTTGCTCTGACTGAGGGCTGCTGGGAGCAGGGGGTGGGGCTTGTTGCATGTGCCCGCCCCCTGGGCTCTTTAATGCTGGAGCTCCGCTCCTGTGTGCTCCTGTAGGAAATGACCCCTGGCTACATGTAAGCTTCCCCAGCAAGGCAGATATCAGTACATGTAAGTTTCCCAAGCAGGCAAATAAGAGCTCCCCCTGGCCATTTCAGATCAGGAGAACAGCCTCGGGAGGGAAGTCCTTCTCCTCATGTGCCATAGGCCCCATGTGTATTGTCTCATTTCCCAGATGCCTGGGATAGTAATACCAGTGGTGATGATTTTGAACTTCTCAGCCCTGCTGTTCCACCATGAAAATTCCTTTCCGTTTCTCCCTCATACAAAGAGAACCGTGTAGATTTTGTAATGTGTGAATCGGCCCCAAGACCCTACAGAGCCACCACTGACAATTATGAAGTCGATGGAATAAGGCACCTTTAAATGTTACCAGGATCACACACAGCTCAGTGGTGGACCACATATTCTGTAAGAAGGCGGTCCCACATTCTGTCTCTTTCTCTGCCCACCTTCTATTAGCTATGACACTGAGCTTTGTGGACCACTGATTTGACTCTTTATGTTCATAAGTGACAGCTGTACACTGTACTCCCTTTGTATATTGCCCTTCCTCTAAGAAGCTGAGAATGATATTGCCCAGTGGAGCCTTCCACTCAAGTGCAGATTGGGGTCTGATCTGCGTTGCTTCCAAGACCAAACTTTACTTAGAACAAGTTGATTAAAGAATTTGATTTTTCCCCATTGCACGACTTATTAAAGCTTCAAGGAAAGGTAGTTAAAATCACAGCAGTTAATTAGGAAAGTCAGAAGCTGTGTGCTGCTTCCTTCCTTTCTGTCCTGCTCCCACCTTCTTCTTTTTTTTTTTTTTGCAAAGAATTTGGATATCAAACCAATATAAAAAATAAGGATTCCGGGCTTCCGGTCTGGCTCCCGCGAATGGTGGATGCATCCTCGGGTTGCTCCCGAGGGCGTCTCGCCCGCCCTCGGTGGAGGAGGGAATCCGCGCGAGCGGAGACCCGAACGAGCACCTCAGGAGGAGAGGAGCTCGGATCCGGGGCGCTTTAGGGCGCACTAGGGGGGAGTCGCTCTTTCGGCCGAGAGGTCGGAGACCGAGGCTCCCGCCATGCCCTGCCCCAATGGACCTTGCTGCGTGAGCGACCCCGAACGGGGTTTAGCGGAGCCACCAGACGTCACCGAGTGATAAAGCGACCATCTGCAAAAATAGAAAAAGAAAAGATCGGCTTAACTGTGAGTTATCAAAATGCAGAGAAAAAGAACTAAAAACGTTCCCCCCCCCCAGCGAAAAAGGCGAAGAGGTTAACCCTCCATTTGTATAAGCGAAAAAGAAAAGGAGGGGGGGAATGGATTGAGCGGACAGTGATGTTTTCCTTTGACGTATTTGCAACAAAGCGAGAAAAAGTTTTGTCTCTCTGGAGCACATTTTAAGAACTTTCTAAAAGTAAACAAAAAAGAAAAGATGTCGGAGCTGGGCAAAAGCGAGCGGAGAAGAAGGGAGGGACTTCCGTCTGGGCGTTTACTTGTGTGTGAGAGCCGGCTATTTAATGTTTGGACTGTTATGGCTGTGAATCCGACGGGAGTTTTGTAAAACGGAGAAGTTTGAACTGTGACAGCGAGGAGTGCCTGGCAAGCGCTTATATGAGTCAACAGTTGCGAGGAGGACCCAGTAGAGAGTTTTAGGAGCGGATATAAAAGCGAAGAAATTAATACCATTCTCAAAGCTGGGGATCTCCAGTAATGGCAAGCAAGGAAGAGGATTTACAGTGCATGAACTGAGATTGTTAACAGCAACCCAAAGGAGGATCAAACAAGCCGGAAGGAGAAGACAACAGAGGAAGCTCCTCCACGTCAGCGACACTAAAAGTACCCAGCACGCAAAGAAGCGGTTCTGAATGTGCCCAGAAGAGGCTTTTTTATTAACAGAAACTCAAAGGAACATTACTAACATACTAACAGAGAACTTCATGTGACCGGATTAAAAAAAAAGAAGTTTGACAACACACAGAAGAAGCCCGAGAAGATTAATTGGACATTACTAACAGTGTAATTTACCAGTTTATATATCACTCAGCTTTCTCTTTCCCCCACTGTCTACCCTTCCCATTTCTTCTTTTAAGCGAAATACCTCCCCTTTTTAGGGGAGTCAATAAAACCTTTATTAAAAAAAAAAAAAAAAGGATTCCAGCCAGTGAGTCTCTTATGAACTGGTACTCTTGATGACGGCAGTCTGCTTATGTTTAATGGCAGGGATGTGGCTGATTTCTCATCCCTGCCCATTCAATTTGACAAAATATCCATTTCCGTGTCATTTCTCCCTTGTGCAAATCAGAAACACAACTCTTCATTTCCACATAATTTCTGCCCCCCGCAAATATATTTCCCATTACAATTAAAATGTTTTCCAATCCCCCCCTCCATTTTTTCCCCATCATATGCATTTGATGCATCACATAACAATGGCTTAAAAGAAAGAAGGAACAGCCGTGAAAATGGCTGGGCTGAAAACACTCACAATGAGAATATAGGAAAACATTGGGTCCATCACTTCTCTAGCTATGGCACTGAAATTCTGAACAGGGAGCTTGACTACCAATTGCCTCCCCGAGGAAAGATGGCAGTTAATCGCAAGCTGGAGCAAAACCTTCACAAACATTAGGCCTATTGCATAAATACGTGCTACGCTGCTATACTCTCTGTCTTTCTGCTCTTTCTTCCCATAGCTGTTACTGTCAAAGGAGGGTGAGTCAGTGGAAGGAATACTCCTTATTCATTGAGAGAATCAAAGGGGCAACCTGGGAACCATAGTTCTGTCCCCCCATCTTATTTCTGGCATCTGAGATTTCAGCAGGTATTGCTTTCCCACTATTGAAAATATTTCCACAGCAATAAGGACCCAAATCTTGATAAGAACAAGCAGTGGTATTCTAAGGAGAGTTACACCCTTCCAACTGCACTGAAGTTAAAGGGCCTAGACTCTGTTGTAACTCTGTTTAGGGCAGCACCACCTCTCAACTAGTCCTGACTATCTCTTGAGTGATTATGGTAATCATGCTTGTTCCAGCAAGCCATATTCAGTTTTTGTGCCGATATCAAACTTAATGATTCATAAAACATACATCTTAATCAAAGCCATCTCTCACATTTTCCAAACCTCCTTGCTACTCACAATTCCTGCACTTTCTATGAGGCTGATACTTGATACCTGTTACGTGTGATCTAAAACAATGATTTGGGAAATCAGAAGTCCCCCCCACACACACACACAAGAAACCAGAACAAAGCTTTCCCCCTTCCTGCAGAAAAAGAACTGTCCCTAGCGCGCCAGTGTCTGGACGTCCTTGTGTTTTCCCAATCCAATGACAGCGTTTTCATTTCCTGGTGAAAGAAAATTAACATCAGGAGAGGTATCCTGGGAGCTCCTGACAGCTGCTTGCATCAACTCTTCTTGCCCGCAAGGTAAGTTCAGTGGCTGCCTGTCCTAGACCAGGACGCTGACCCCTCTACATCAGAGGGAGGATCTGAAGACTCAGAACGAGGAACCAGCCCCCAAAGTGGTTGTGGAAGTAGCTACCTCTCTGGGATGCGAGGACAGCAGCAACAGCTCCAAGGTACCTAGAAGCCCCTGAAAAGCAGCTTTGCCCTCTTCTTCAGAATCTAAGCAGACAGTTCTAGATGAGTCTGCAGCCCTCCAACACTATCATGCTGAGTCCTGAGACAGTGGGATACAGTCCAGTTTGGCACAGTTGCTGCCTCTGCCACGAAGTATGGCCCCTCTCATTCTTAGCGGTCTTTGTAACCTCTCTGCCTTTACAAACAAAGGCTACTAGAATAAGCAACAGCTGAGCCCCACTTTAACATAACTAAACTAAACTAAAACATCTTGTACTGAAGTCTGTGCATCTTTGATTAGAGCTAAGGCCATGCAATTACATGGCAAATCCTCAAACTATCAGTGCCCTAACACTATTCCACCGGAGGAAATGGCTCTGAATTACAAATTCTATCACTCCAGTCTTCTTCTCTGTTTACTTACTTCATTTATAT